TTTTCATTAAAATTAGATATGGGTTTTCATTTTACAGAATTTTGTTGCATCAACTATTTTTATAGACTGGATTTTGTATGTAATGTGTGGAATATATACCATATGTAAAAAATTTGATAATAATGTAAGATTTGTTATCTTTGTTCTTGCAATAAATGCTGCATTTTTTATATAAACTGAATCTTCTATTTCAAATAATCTAGTAATGTTTTATATAAATTTTCTCTTAAGTGATAGTAAGCAAATAAATTAATAGACACAGATATTTGGAATTAATTAAATGACTAAATTATTTTTTTATACATTATCTTTTCCAAACATTATTTTTAAGTTAAATGCACATTAAATTCTGATAAAATTTATAAAGTTAATTTTTGATTGAAAAATCAATAAATAATAATTATTTATTATAATTGTATTTTTTGTAATACGGTAAGTTTTTTCTTATCAATATTTATCATATTTCAAAATTAAACAATGACATTTCATAATCAGTTGATACAGTTATCTTCGACCATCTCCGATAAGATTATTGTAAGAGTTCAAGAGGAGTGTTTAGCAAATAATTTATCAGTTGTAAAAGCTACTACGAGAAAAAATTTTTGATTTCCAAACCAATGATTAGGGTTAGAACAAATTAAACAAGTATAATATGCAACTAATATAAATTATTCATCTATTTTCTTTTAAAGATGTTTTCTGTCAACTTTTAAAAATACTTTAACATTAAAAATGTATAAATTATATCACAAAATTTAATTGTCATTTTAATAGAAAAATTTAGCATAATATATTAAACTAGGTTCTAAACTGACTTTTTAGTACAAAAAACAAATATTTTCAAATCTATCAAAATTCATAAACAATTTTTTGTTTACAATATGCTAATGATGAAATTGGTATTACTGAATTACAAAGAATTAATTAAATACTGTAATTGAAAACTTTTAAATAATATTTTAAAACATTTACATGATTATTTATTTATGTTTTTAATTTAATAATAAGTTTTAATATGAAAATAACTATACAAATGTAAATAATTTGTCTAATCAATATCTTATAAACTGATTAAGTGTTCAGTAACTTGCAGTTTTAAATGTTGAACTGAAAAATTACAAGTGGTGTTTTTTAGTTAATTCTAATCATATAACTTGCCATTTCACAAATGAACATAACTATTCATTCAACGTTTGTATCTGACCTAAATATCAACTCTTTATACAAAACTTGATTATTATTACATTTTTTCTTTTTTAATTAATAATTCAGATACAGAGAAAAAGCAATATTATTTCTTCTAATCTTGCATTTTATCTCAGGAAACATAGCCTATTTTAAAATTTATTTCTTAAATTTGGTATGTGGAATTTTCTAATAAAAACAATAATTCTCTATTAATCATAGAAATCTAAACAAAGTAACTAATTATAGTAAATCATTATTGGTCACACTGCTGTAATAATTAAAGTGAATTTTACTTATTATGGAAAAAGATTAAAAAACTGAAGTTCAATAGTGACAAAACAGAACAAATATCAATTCTGTAATTGTTTTTTATAGTTTGTCTTGGTCATGTAGGATCAATAAATGTACCTTCAACAGACAACTCTAAATTTTAATTTGTTAATGCATTATTTTAAGGAGGAAATTATCTTGCAGTAGAATAATTTTACTGTTAAAAAAAGCAAAATAATTGGAATACCTGATATTAATTAAGGTTTAAAATCTATTTATATATCTCCATAAATATTTAAAATTTCTAACATTTTCTTCAATAAACTACTATTAATTATAACAAGTTTGTATATTCAAGGAGCTATCATAATAATCTGATATTAAATTATTTTCTGAAACAAAATCAGATCCATTCAACTATTTTTAAAGTTTTATATTTCTGGAGGGGTTTATTTAAACCTTGATGATGATATGTCATGAAAATAAACATACATTCATAGATAATTTTTTGTTTTTTAACTTTTATAGTAATACTAAATAATAGTTTATAGATTATGCCGAGAATTGTCTGAAAAAGTTTTTGCTTCATTCAAACAAATGATTTTCCTTTCAATATTACTTTTCCATATTTTGTCTAATAAAACTTGAAATGAATCTAAGGCAGTCACAACAAACCTAGAAAATAAAATTACATGGAAGACTGGAAAATAAAATTACATGACTTTTGTCATGTAATTTTATTTTCCAGTTTCCAACGTGTGCCATTATGCAACCCTAATTAAACTGATATTTGTCACAAAGGACATTAAAACTGAACTTGACCAGTGAAAAGATGAGAATAAACTATGTATTACTAGTTTGCATATCATTTAACACACATTATTTTAATAGTTAGTGTATTGGTGGTTATGGATTATGTTGATACTTGGAAGACTTAAAGCCTTCAACTTTGTAAGAAAAAAAATGTGTGGCATATTTAATGAAGACCTTCAGAAAAAATTCAAAGCTGATGCATGCAACTGGAAGCCTGCAAAGTTCCCTTATGGCCAGCATCCAGAGATTGTTCATCACTAATCTATGCTAAGCTTCCCAACTCAGAGTTGATCCTGGAACATTTCCATTCTAGGAGTGAAAAATTTTGGGATATTTGAGTGTATTTTACTCTCAGTAATGTTAAAATGCTGTCATATATTATTTAGCCCATTTTAATTTTGGGTTATCCCAAAAGTTGATCATTTTATCAAGTAAATACAAGAAGGATGGGTCTCACTTTAAGAGTTAAGAATTTTTAAATTTTTGCTAAATTCTGGAATTCTCTGGTACGTCTAAGTCTAAACTAATATCTTGAAGTAATTTCATGCATTCTGTATAAAATAATCGATATGATTATCTGTTACTGAGATCTGTACTTTGTTAACAAGATTTATTGTCAGTTTTCATTCATAATTGTTACTTTGCATAAAGATTAAATAATAATAGTATCAGAAGAATGTAATGGTAAGTGATGGACTACAAAATGCTAAAAGTGCACAAGATAATTTCAAGAAAACACTATAGTTTAAATTTTTTTTTAAATTTCACTTTATAGATAATCTTTTAGACTTAAATAATTTGATTAGAATTAATTATGTTAAATTATTATTCCTATTTTTTAAATCAGAAACGTCTGTATTATGATTTAATTTACTGTATGTTACTAAATATTTGAAATTATTCATACACATTTGAGGCTAAATTCAAATTAAAGTATATATCTAAATTTGAATTACTATTAACCAATTGGCTTATGGATGATTTCATTTTTTGAAAGCAGACTTGTTAATATCAATTAAGTTACAATCATTTATATCAGTAGCAAATCTAAATAAAAAGTAACTAACTACATTTTACACCAAGATCAAATAGAAGAATCACTTTTTTATTAATATAATCAAAAAGGAATTATTTATTACTGAAAGCTATTTTTTTATATGCACATCCTTCACTTGCTACAAGTTCATAAATTATTATTGGCTTTTCTGAATGTTGCAACATCCATTTATCAGTTGCAATATTATAAACTGCATTCAGTGGCATACATAACTAGGGAGATATCTGAGGGTTTGGGTCTTCTTGATTTTTTTCTTAATTTAAGTTCAAGAAAAAATGTGGATGTGACAAAATGCACTTAGATATATTTATGTACTGTACCATATATATAATAAGAGTTTTACACTCTGGCAGTAGTAAAGGGTTAAATGATCTAATTTGGCTCCCTCTAATATCAGCTCTAATTACGCTACCAACTGCATTAAATGGAAAAAGTCAATAATTTTTCTTCATCTATTCGGTGTAACCCACTCATTTATGAATGTAACCATTAAAAACTGATTAGATTTGGCTATATATTGTGTAATTGTGCCAATTTGCAAATAACATTCCTAATATTAACTAAAAAAACTATCCAAATTTCACTGCAAAAACTAAGACAAACCAAATATTTTGCTAAACAGATGATAATTTAGCACCCAGAGACAGTAAATTTGCAAATACACTTAACAACTCGTTATCTTACAACGTAAATAATCGATAAGTTATCAACATTTTTATTTGGATAATCAGCCATTTGAACATCATACGACTTTTTCTAAAAGATTTCTTAATAATGACGTCCAACGAAATTGATAAAATACAAATCTAATCAGTTACAGCTTTGATGTCACTACTGTATTTTCGCTATTGAAGAATTACGTAAGTAATTAAACATTTTTCTCATGTCCGCATAAAAAAACAAACAAAAAAAAACAGGCAATGTACATCAGTGAAGCATGACTTTTCTTAATAATTGAGTTATGGATGAATTTATAGCTTTATTTCCCTTTAATACGTCAAAAATGGTAAAAAAACCTTAGCGCTAAAATTGGTAACGTTTGCGACAGATATAACTCCATATGATCCAATATACCAATCCCGAAATACAATGCGAAACTTCCACCACTTGTTTTAACGTATGACATCTTATACATACAAGATTAACAACAAGGAAATTAACAATAGAAAAATTTATTTTATATAAATAACCATTCTTTTGACCTCCGTTAGCACAATTAATCAACAACCGTTGAGTAAATCGTCCACGATTATTTTTAACCAATCATCATCATATCGACTCGACAACTTCCAACCTCCGTATGAACTACGCATGCTCAGTTGTCTAATCTTGTCTCTCGGCGCGGAACCATCTTAGATCAAGTTGGTCATCGTGGGGAAAAAAAAAAAAAAAAAAGAAGAAAAAGGAAAAAAAAAAAAAATATAGAAGCGTTCTCTAAAAAGAATTTTTAAAGGAGAAAGGANGACAACTTCCAAAATCCGTATGAACTACGCATGCTCAGTTGTCTAATCTTGTCTCTCGGCGCGGAACCATCTTAGATCAAGTTGGTCATCGTGGGGAAAAAAAAAAAAAAAAAACAAAAACAGGGGGATGTGGGGAAAAAAAAAAAAAAAAAAAAAAAAAAAAAAAAAAAAAAAAAAAAAAAAAAAAAAAAAAAAAAAAAAAAAATATAGAAGCGTTCTCTAAAAAGAATTTTTAAAGGAGAAAGGACGAAAATCTCACTGTTAACGGTAAGAAGTTTGAAACGACGAGACTGTTAAAGTCTGTGTCTATCGACGTGAGTTATAAGCAATTGAAGATTTGTCTTGGTAGGTTTGTCGCCGGTTCAACACCATATCATCATCATTAAAATGAAGATAATTAGAAAATCAGTTAAATTTTATATATAATTTATCATCCTATAATAATTATACATTAATAATAATTCAAATATCGATCTAAATGCCTATATTTAATCAGTTTAACTGTTATTTTTTGCTTTATGTTTATAATTTGATGTTTTTTTAGATGAAATTTTAAGTATTTTTTTTAAAATATGAGGCAAATATTCTGCTTTAATAGGTAAGAAATGTATTTTTTTGTTTCTATTTTACACTTGGATTATGGTTATTTTGAATATTTTATTGGCTGACTTATCATTGCAATTATTGAGAGTTTTTCTTAATATTTATGATTAATCTTCATCCTTTTTTATCACTTTACAGGATTTAATTTTAAAAATTTATGAATTTTGTCATATTTTTTTGGTTTTTAGATTTCATCGTTAACCGCAGGCTCGTTGCCCGTCGGTGTCCGATGCTTTTTCCACTATTTCCTTCCATTTTTCTCTATCCGTTGCCAAGTTTCTCGATTCCTGCTCGACACCACTTCTTCACGTCATCAATCCATTCTCTATATGGTCTGCCTCTTTTGTTACATCCTTTTTTAGATTTGATATTTGAAAATTCACAAATGTTCTAAGCTGTAATAACATAACATTCATGTTACTTTCTTATATAATGCAGCTTATAGGAATGTGTGCTATTCTGTATACTATAAAATTGATTTCTGCATATATAAAAAAAAAAATTAATTTTAATATATGATAATTATGTTCAAATTGTTTCAATATTTATTTATTTGTCTATTTAGTGTGTGGAGATCAAATTTTTTAAAACAAAATTAAAATATGTTTAAAAAATTATGCTATTAATATTCTTCAATTCAATCAAGTTTATAATTCATAAGATATGAATAAATTATTTAAGTTTTATATGCTGATTTATTTAAATTTAAGAACTTTTTTTTAATCAAAGAAGCTTATAAAGTGTTCTAATAAAAATCTGAAATGGTTTTTAATAGAAAATTTGGCATGTAGACATATAGTCTTCATTTTTATTATATACTTTAAATTTAACTTGACTTTATATACAGTTTCTAATTTTTTCTGTAGACCTAAAATTTTTTTTTTTTTTTAGTATTTTTGTAATAAAATTGAATTTGTTAAACTGTATTAATTATGATAAACATATCATTCATTGGAGATAAATTTTGAAATTTAAATTATTAAAGCTACTCGGTGAATTTTAAATTTTATATAAATTAGATATTTAAAAAATAATTTTTAGTTTTATGTAGTCATTTCTATCTATGAAGTAGAAAGTTTGCCTCAATTTTTAATATATTATTATTATTATTATTAAATTAAAATTACAAAGTAAATTTTTATAGTTTTAATGCAAGGAAAAAACCCATAAAACTTTTTATTTTAAGTACAACATAGATGCAGAATCTATGTTAATATATTAATTTTTTCAGTTATGTTGATGATCATTTGAATATGTTTTTGATATTTGAGTTTTTTCCCCTCTTTATAAACATCATTTTATAATCAAGAAATAATTCCAGTTTTAATTAACTATACAAAAATATTTGAGATTAAAAACATTTAAAATAATTATAATGAAGAATAAACAGCATTAAGCAGCTGTTTAATCAATAGATATAGACTATTTAAAATCATTGCAGAAATTCATCTGAATTGTTTTAGCTGAAAGTAAGAATTTTGGATGTAAAAAAAATCTTGTGATATTAAACAGATTTTTAGCATTAAATTTATTTATATTTTATTTTTGTATTGTTAATTATCAATATTTAGTTTCTTATATTATAGGCTTATGTTGTTTGCATTTATTTTATTCTATTGTATTGCTATAATGATTCAGAAGTGAATTAAATATTATTTTATTGACTTCACTATATATAACTTATAATAGGAAGGAGTGGCGAAGACTAGTTCTTAGTTGTAATTATTTTTAGGATTAATAGTTAGTGATGATTTATAAAGAATATTTGATGTAAAAAATATAAATTGGTATTATTTTCCATAAATTAAATTTTTATGAAAAATAAATCATAGCAATTAGATTGTTAATTCTGCCTGACACAAATTACATTCAAAGAAAAATTAATGAATTGTTAAAAAATACTTGAGAGCAGAATTTGGAAGAAACATGAGTCAGATGATTTTTTTTCCTACATATGTTGACATAAGTAATATCCATAGGTAAATCATTCTGAGCATATCTGCTTATGCTGAAGTCATAGCAATAAGGACTTGTCACATGTCTCATTATCATGTATGAATTACTAATAGAGATCAACATGGTGTTTATCAGTTTCAATCAAATAGATTAATGCATATTTTTAAAAAACTTTTTTAAATTAAAAATTAATTGAATAGTGGTTCAACACTGAAATTTATATCCAATCAATATGAAATGTCTGCATCACAAATGTTAGAAACATTTTATATGTAATACCTAACTTCCTAATTGTTAACAAAAATGTATTTTGTATCAATAATTGGCAACTGTAGAAAATAGTATGATGCATGTTTGTTAAGAGTATATTTTTTAGGAACTACTAATTATATATATATGATATATAGTATTAAAGCAAAACACTGATTTTTTTGTTCAGCTGATTATCCAGTAAGCTATAAAATTATTTATTGATATTTTTTCTTTAAATAAAAATTGTTAATCCTTATTTAAAGCAAATCGATATTTTCTTATTGTCATTCTTTTACTTGTTAACTTCATCATTGCTGTAATTCTATAATTATTAATAGATTAATCTGGAATCGAATAAATTTAAGTGTAGGATCGAGTATGCCTTTCCTAATTTTTTGTTACAATAAGAACTGAAAGATTTCTTGTTGTGGATTTGTTTGCTACAAGAATATTTAATTTAATTTTTTTAATTGTAAAATTTAGTTAATAATAAAATTTAATTGGCAAGTTTTTAATCTTTAATTTAAAATTACTACAAAAGCTATCATATAAGTTGGTAAAGTATTCTAGCTTGCAAAATCATATATACTTGTAAGTTGGAAAATTGTGTTATGTTCTAAGAATAATAGTTTAAATTAAATATTTATAAAATAAAATATAAAATGTAGCTAATTTTAAAATATAGGCTAAGTATTTAAAAATTGTATATACTATTTAATAATAATGTTAAATATTTATCTTTGTTTATTTTTTAAAATTACAATATCAATATTTATGAATGTAAAAACTTAGTTAGTTTGATAAAATTATCTATCAAACATTCAAGCTACTAATATGAAAATGTTGCAAATATATAAATACAGCATTTATAAATTGAATTGTATAAATAAGTATTAAAATGGTATTAAAATTAGTCTTGAGATGGTACGTGGGATCCCATCCCACGTACCATCTCGAGGCTGCGCTAGCAAAGCATATCACCTTTGATTCCGCCTTCTGAATAAGTATTAAAACAAATTCAAACAGAACAATTTTAATTATTATTAATTTTTTCTAACAAAATTAAAATATGGAGTCAGTTTGTTATATTAGTTTTCAAAATTATTGCAAGAGAATTGATTTATTATTATTATTAAATTTTTTTTATTGGATTCCCAAAGAATTAAAATATAAAAGTATGATATATAATATTTTACTTGCCTACCAGTTTAAACAAACTATATTGAAGGACACTGTCAGCTAATTTTTGTTAGGTTTATCAGAATATAACATTCATGATCTAACAAGCAGAATTTTAATCCAGTTGATTTCATCAATGCATGATGGAGTATAACAATCTGTAGTTAAAGGAATTATATAGTACAGTACCTGATAACTCTTAAGGCTGCCAGCAATGTATCTATAGCTATTTTCCTACATAAAGGAAGAGGGAAATTGATGGTAGTTAAGATGACAAATAAGGATAGTTTAGCTAATTTATAATACTATATTTGTATATTTCTTACATTTTCCTAATTACTGTGTGCAAACTTTATTGTATATTAATATAATATATTTTGATAATGGACAGCACGCTAATCGTTTATTACAAAAACTTTTAACATATAAGCGNTATATTCTACCGCGCATATTTTTATTTAAATATCTGTTTATATTCTACCGTTGCTATCATTCCAAATTTGCTATTTAAGATTGGAATGTTTTTAAAAATTTTGTATTCAAAAAAGGTTCTAATGACCTGAAGAAGACGAAAGTGTATATCGTCGAAAGCGCTCGTCAATTTAGTGACATAGGTGTCTAATTTAACGCTTATATGTTAAAAGTTTTTGTTATAATATATTACTTTCCCGGCTGTTACAACTAGGGTTTCTCAAACGGGATCCTGTTTTTATTATTTTTTTTAACCTGGAAAATTCTTCTCATTCCAGGAAATTCCACAAATTTCTTAAAAATTCACTTTTTTCTTATTTTGTGTTAAGATTGAGAAAATTTTGCAAATAGAAGGTATAATTAACTCATAAACTGTCAGAATACATTTGTATTTATTAATTTTAAACCTACTTATTAGTTTTTTAAATTTTTGCTTGTTTTGGTATGTCACAAGTGGTCAATAATCAATACATAGCTTATTTGTGTCAGGACACTGAAAATATTTTACTTGTCAGAACCTGTAATATCTGGAATAATTGTACTTATGCTGTCTTAATTTTTAACTATGCCCAGTAGCTTCAACAACTGCATGACAGCAGGTTGTGCAAATTGGGCAAGGATACAAACAAGTATAAAGTCTGCAAGTATGACATTTTTCTTCATAAACCTGATTATTAAAGACAAACGAACTGCCAAATTATCGGGCTATAAGCTTGATGTTTCTATTAAAGCAGTTGAGGTAGACTAATTCAAGAATACTAGAGAGCAAAAGAAGTATTACAATCTCAAAAACGAACTATAAATCTTCCAGGCTACAGGTAAAAAAACACATAATATCAGTCTTCTCTTAAATGCATTAAAGACGATTCCACCCACATGAATTG